TTCTACTTTCTTATTTGTAAGCATTATGTGTCCAGTGGTAAGAAGCCTATTAGAATAGCATAAAAAAAGAATGTACAAATGTTAATAATTGATTTATCAAAAAAAAATTTATTTCCTTCTCCTTCGGAACTTTTTTATTCTCATGTTCATAACTAAACCTAAACATAAAAAAATGCTGGCCTTATAATGAAGAAAGGGGCCTCTTTCAAAATAGATAATTTCAGGGCCGCTGGGTCAGGGGTACCAGGGGGTTCTTTGACTAAAAATAAATTAATGCTTTGAAATCTGCCCTTTGATAAGCAATGGTGCCTCCTTTAAAATTTGTGAATTTCATGGCTTTTGGATTAAAACACGAGCCAAATACAATCGCTGGAAAGTTGTTACATGATACTCAGGTGACCTATAAGGCCCGTGGGCCTCTTGTTTTATCTAGTTTTCACAAACTGAAGATGGGATTTGATGTGAAGTAAAAGAAATAATTGTATAGATTGATAAGAATTGTTTCAGATAGGCAGAATTTTAACATCAAAGACGATTTACATTTTTTTCTAGAAATTTATCATTAGCATCATTTTCAATGAAATAAGGCCAAAAATATATACAAATTCAGGCATCCATTTGGTAATTGTATCATCTGTCCCTCAATTTATTTACGTACTAATATAGTTACACTCATATACCTTAGATATTTGTATAAAATAACAAGGTACATGAACTTTGTCTTATTTTGTTTTCTAAGGACATAACATCCATGACAAGAAATTGTACTTACGATGTCAAAAGTGCAAAACAGGTGATTGTGCATATGAAAAATGTTCCACAGATATAAAAAGCGATGTATTTTGCTCCTCTGTAATAACTTCTGGACAGGTAAGGCAAAGCTTCATATAGTAGAAGATACCTGTGGTACATGTTAATATCCGTCTTCTGTATTATCACCACTTGACGTTTATGATGTTTATTAATCTTTGAAGAAAAAAAATGGAAAAGTCCGAATGTGGCCAATGGGGTTCTTTTTTATTTGATCTTGTATATGTGATTTTTTTTTTTTTTTTTTTTGGGGGGGGGGGATTGGAAACCTTGAAGATTTGTCTGAGTTAGCTCTGAGTTAGCACTTGTCAAGAATAAAATTATCAATTTGATCGTTTCTTAATTTTGAAGATTTAGAACAAATCTATTTTGATCTTTGATAAAAACAAAATTTGAGAAAGGACGTTACTTGATTCATGATGTATCGATATTTTCCAATCATTATAAAAAATATTCAGTTTTTATATAATCATCATCAATTGAGCCGTTTCAATTATTTTTTGTGTATATTACATTATTTTTTTAGAAGTACTTTTATTATGGAATATATTATGTATTTAAAAGCCCGATTATTACTTTACAGATATTTTATTTATAGAAAAAGGTTTTATTCTATAGGAATTTACACCGAAATATTATATGGAAGTGGTCTCTGCAACAGAATCAACATCTGGTAATAAAAATAGTATGTACTCTCCTGTACTCTCCTGTCATAATACGCACCCTGTAAGGTATCGCAACCCCTAAATGTGTTTATATTAAATGGTGATTTACTGAGTGAATTTTACATATATTCGAGGTTTTATTGAAAATCTTATAAATGAAAATGATTGATTGATTGATTGTATATTGTTTAACGTCCCTCTCTAGAATTTTACTCATATGGAGTCGCCTAAAAATGAAAATGAAGATCATCAGATCGTCTAGATTAATTCATATATTTAACTTTCAGTTAGAGCACTTGTTTCCGTTCAATAAACAGAACATATTAGTCATTGATTCTTTCTTAAAAAATGTAAAAGAGTTGAGATTTTTAGATTACATCTAAAGACAACTTTCTTTCATTGTGCGTTCTGCTAGACAAACAAAATGAATTCTCGAATGTAAAAAAGTATAAATTCATGTATAATACGTTGTATTTCCATTAGTAAACGCTTCAGAATTAGAGGCGCATTTGGTCGTCTGACTGGGACGGCATGGTATTGCATAGTATGAAACATGCCAAACTCAGCTCAATGGGAACTTTCGGCTCAATCTTCTAAAAGAACCGTGACGGACATATTATCTCGTATTTGTACCATTAGATAATTATATACATTTTATGTTAATTCTGTGTTGAAGGAACCCAATCTTTATTGATTTCAGGGAAGCAATGCTCATCGTTTTAGCATTATTACCTACAAGGACAGTGGTTCTGTCTTAATAGAAATGCCATGGCACAGAAAAATAATCATATTTACATTGTATTAACAATTGAATGTTGCTTTATGTCGTTTGAGAAATGTTCACCAGATAAAGATGTGAAATGTAACAAATTTTTCATTGACTCCAACCTTTTTTGTATATAAAATCTTATTTTTTTTTAGTATAGTACCTTTACTTATTAACTGAAGACTTCGCAAAGGAACAATCACTAGCCATTAAATGCCTTATTTTTTGTCCGAGCAACGGGAATGAGAATTGAACCTTTTGGGTCTAAAACATTCGAGCAGAAAATCAATTAATTAGGGCTCACTTTAGCGTTAGACCATAAATACCATATGGATGGAATTTTTTGCGAGATGCAAATTTAGCGATTTCCTTTCGCTATATAATAAATAATTTTATCTGTTTTACAATGCATATGAAAGAAGCTATTAAAAATAAAATGTAATTGATTTAGCAATATTCAATTCTAGCGATCTTAGTACTCTCACTAATTATGCCAAAATCAAATCCTCCCTTAAAATTCTGTTTATACGGTATTCTGATATTTCTGACTATATGCATAATGAAAGGCGCCGTTGAAAATCTTCAAAGGTTTTATTGAGCGCCTTTAAAAAAGGACAGAGACTTGATTTTTATATATACATTTAAGTATTAGATTAAAAAAAAAAATTAATCAAAAGTATTGTTTAACATGTGGAATAAATGAAACCAAACCCAACCGATATAACTCATTTTAGGTACATGTACCGGTATATATTTGCTGTATGTACTAGAATACATGTAATTGTTCTACTATTATCACCTCAATTTTATTCCATCGCAAGGAAAAAAAAACGTAAATCTTTTCAACAACTGATACACAACTTTGTAAGCTCGAAATATACGTCTAAACTGTAGTTCTAAAATGAGATTTTCATACATAAATGTTCAACATGTAATGCATTCATCAATAAATACACAAATAAAAATCAGATACATATTATGAAATAATATCCTTAAATATAATTTTAACTTTATACATTTCTCAGCTGCATAAGTTTTGAATTTTGTAAAAAGCATAACTGCACTTAACGTAGTTGCAATAATGTAGCCCTTTACGAAATTTGAATCTGATGTTTGCTGGAGAGGGCTACAATGCCACACCATCTCCGTATTAAATAGATATTTATGAATACGGGTGACTGCAGGCAAAATAATATTTTTTACATTCAATTTACTTCTAAAAAGACGAAATCTTTATTTACTGTCAACAACATACCCCGTTTAACGCGAAGACTAGATAAAATAGAATAAAACGGGGTGTTTACCAGTCACTGTTCCAAGCAGGTATGTTACAACACACTTTGAAAACAAAGTCCAAAGTGCGTTAAATTTGGGACCAAATCAACGCACTTTGAAAAAAAAAAATGTCTTTTCAAAGTGCGTTATTCTTGCAAATCTTAGGTATGATAAAAAATAGAACCTGTTGTATAACTTTTCGGCGATAAGGTCACTTCAGGATGTAAAAGTGAGCGATTTTGATTTTTGCATTCTTTGAAAATTCTTTCTCTCTTAAAAGTTTTCTGTACTTTTTTTTCCAGTTTGCAAGCATTTTATGTAAAGTATTTTTTTTTAAGTTTTCAACGTCATACCAGTTATGCAAATACAATGTACATATGTTTGGGTGTAACATAGGCATCAGTACCGGGAGGGTGAGGGTTGGGGTTGGGCTTATAGGCACACGAATGTTTTGCAAAGATAAATATAATATATGCATGGAAAAGTGGGACATACCTTGGAGGGGGGGGGGTCTTTCAATTTGCTTCCGACGGCTTTGTATAAAAAAAATGGATTTGGACTAAGAGACCCTTTAATCGTCTTCTCCTTGTTCTCAATGAGGTTAAATGAGTAAATGTAAATTAAAAAGTTTTTAGAAAGATATAATTATTACAAATTGATTCTCTCAATTACTGAAATCTAAGTCTAGAATTTTTTCAAAGTGCGTTAAATTTCCTCATGGTAAAAAATGTTGATGTACACTCTTAATGCACTTTGAATTTTTTTTTTCGAAGTGCGTTGGGTGTCCAAAATTTTCGCGTTGATTTTGTCCCAATTTTAACGCATTTCTGAATGTTTTTCAAAGTGCGCAATTTTTTCAAAGTACGTTGACACACAGCTATTACAGGTCAAGCGGGATGCGCTGACAATAGATCTTGAAATTAAGAATATAATATTCAATTTGTAATAAAGCAAATATCGGCATTTATAAATAATTGTGATCATGGAGAAAACGATCATATCCATTTATGCCTGCTGTTCAATCCAATTCATTGGATAGATATATTTTAAACTAAATACTTGTGATGAATATCATCACTAATATTGATAATTAAAACCATTCAATGTATTATATTTTTTTGGTACAAAGCAATATGCAGGTTTAAAATATGGGAATTCCCAAAGATGCGTTCATATAAAAAATAAAGTCTGACTTGCTGTCCATAAAATGTATGAAGGTCAGTGAATACGACTGACAAATATATGTATGGCCATGGGTCGTTCTGTATATTTCTGATCGATTTATGTCTTTTTTTCTAAAATGATGGTTGACTATTTCACGTGTTCGAGCATATTGTCCTAGTAAGCGCAAATCATGCTACCAAAAAGTTACTTGACGGTATTTAGTATTCACAATTTTATCTGAGGAAAGATATCACAAGATGAATGATAATACTGTAAACTCACATATTTCCATGGGGTAAATCTTTGTGGATGAAGCATTGTTGAATTTTAATGCATGTGATGTATCGGAATTTATGTCATTCTTAAATGAATCCTTCTTTCTTTCATTTGATTTAATAATTGTCTGACTGTAATAAACAATTTTAGATCATTTAAATTTAGAAACATAAAAAGGATCTTTGTGTTAAAGAACAAACCTTCATAAACCCTCAATTTTTCTTTGCTTGACTACAGTTTGTTTTGATTTTTTTTTCGAAACACATGACTTAGCTATAGATAATCCAAAAAATAAATCAGGCCTAAAATTAAAACGGGCTCGCAAGGCCTGAATCATAAAGTACAACATTCATTTCATTTGTGTGTGAGAGAGGGTGTTTGAGGAGGGGAGGTGTGTATGTGTATGTGAGAGAGTGAGAGGGTGTGAGGGTGTGTGTGTGTGAGAGAGAGAGCTAGAAAAAAAAAAGAGAGAGGTGTATGTGTTCTCTAATTAGTATTTTTCTTGATTTTTTTAAAGATGGAATCCACTCTATAATCGTTCCTGTTGTTGTTGGAATTATTGTTATTATTGTAGCTGTATTCGTTCTAGTTCGCTTTCAAATGTGAGTACAATCATGTATATTGAAATCATGAATCTCAAAGTATTTTTGTGCAGTAAAATTTACATATAGTGCAATTTAAAAAAAAAACACTCTACCACTCTTGTGTTCATTTAGGAAAAAGGCAGACTGCTTCACACGAGCAACTGTTGATAAAGAGATACCAGATTCAGAAGAAAAAGATGAGCCTGCTTCAAAGCTATGTCAGTATCTAGGGAAGCTATGTTGCTCTCGATCATGTAGTGATGTTTCGGAGACGGACGCTGATAATGCAATCCCAATATATGCAATCAGTGATGACGGCTGCTATGATACTTTTGATTGGAAAAATGAGAGGAAGCAAGAAACAGGTAACATTTATGACCATGCTCCTGGCAAAGATAACGGTGAAGAATCTTTTTATGACTCAACCACAGACAACCGTTTGAAGGATGACCTTGTAGAGGATACATATGATAAAGTTCCGTAAACTTTATCTAGGTTAAAAATATCCAGTCGACATGAGATTTATAATGAATACTATTGACGACGAGGAACTAGCATAATATCCAGTTTATAAATTATCTTTTATATTACAGTGTATAATATAAAGTGTATACTAAGTAAACTTTAAAAAAACATTCATGTACTAGGAAGCTACCAATTATCGGACGACAATATTAAAACAGGTATGATTTCAGCATAAAAAATATTCTATTTGTAAATGTTTCATGAAGAAAGAAAGACTGTATGTATCTGAGAAACTATTGAAAAAAAACGTATTGAACTGTAAGTTATACATCTGAAGAACTTTAAACACGTTACCTTCCCCAACTGTTTTTTTTTATCTTTTATTTTATATTTTTTTTTTTGTGTTCTTGTCCAGTCATTTGAGCTCTTATATAACTTTGTGATCAAAGTTATTTTTATGCATATTTATTTTCTATTTTAATTTTTTTGCATTGCATATTTACATGGCACAGCGATTTGTAGCGTGCTGATACAGCAGCCCTCTCTTTTACATGCTTAATTTTTATTTCACACAGCTTATTTATGGGCAGCGGAAAGGGTAGAAAAAGATGGAAGAATGGGCAAAATTAATTTTCTAAAACATATTGAAATAAGAATTAGCAATGTTAATTAAATAAAATCATCTGGCTCTTTTTCAATATCAACAAACTCGGCTGCGAGAATACCATCTCCACAAACAGTCATGAACCGAATTTATGATCGAGAGTCTGTAATTTAGGGAAAGTTTAAGATCAAACTCTCATTTTTTTTTACGTGTGCAATGTTTTTATTTTGTTGATTGTAAATTTATTTGTAATTCCCAGATTTTTCTATCACAACTTGTTTATTTTATAGATTGTATGCAAAAAATATAAAGAACATTTTGTGTCATACACTTAGTCATGTTAGTAATATTAAGAATTTCACGAATGAAATGAGTTAAAAACTATACACACAATCAGTGACACGAGTATACTGAACTTACATTCGGAAGGGCAGGTAACAATGCACTTCCTGTTGCACAAGTGTTAACATACCATATTACAGAAAACGAAAACAAATTAACAACAAATTTCATTATTTTCTTTATATTCTATAAGATAAATTATGAATTCTTTAATAAGGTTTTCATTTTACTCATGTATTGTCATAATCTTTTAACCATCTAAAACTGATGGATTATTGTGAAAAGTAAGAAAGATTTTCATGTATTTAAAATTCAAAATGTTGGACGTTCTCTTTTCTAGGAAATAAATGACTCATATGTCTTTTCTTGTATTGTCATCGAAGTGGAGGACACTATAAACACGACAATGTCTTCATATGTGTTTTCATCTCGTGCTACTACAAGGTTTATTTATATATTTTATTTTTATAATATATTATGAATGAACACAGTGAATTTCAAATGAAGATATGCATAAATATACTAATGGTGAGATTTTATGTTATGTACTGTATCGCCCTACGGCGCACGGATGATAACGTCAAAGTGCATGTGTGAAAAACAGCGTCACGTTTCATCTTTACTTAAAATAAAGTTAGATAAGTCCCACTTAAATTTAGAAATTCCACTGATTTACATACTCGAGTCTCAAAAAACAGCTGAGGAATGAAGCTGGCATACACATGCGATCTTCTGAAGATGTATTAGCAAGTTACGGATAGCATTCTCACCATCATTCAACTAATAGAGAATTTTATATCGACCGTCGATAGTGATAGCGTCTCTCGCTATTACAATAGCAGTTTGTCCGTATTTTTCTCATACCTTAGTACTCGATCAAAAAGACTTCGTTAAGAAATTTCATTTGTATAGTAAAGATCTAGTGATATTTTTTCATATTTTGTATCTTCTGTATTCTTTTAAATCCTCATAAGGTTTCATTTCATCTTAATCAAATTAAACTGCTCTCTGGTGCGCTATAACGTCATCAAACGCCTCCATTTTTTGTGTGTTGTGTGTACCACTTTGCAAATTCGAATGCTCCGGAAACTGCAAAAAATTAACCAAATGACTTGAAATTTTCAAAAAGATGACAAAATTTATTAAGGAACATAATTAGGATAGTTATACCGCCCGCTTGAAAAGTGGGAGGGTATATAGTAATCGGTATTTCCGTCCATCCGTCCGTCTGTTTCGCCTTTTTCTCTTATCCGCAACTCATCTTATACTACTGAGTGAAATTTAATGAAACTTTCACAGAATCTTTATTACATATTGTCATTGCGCACGTCCTATTTTACTTTTTTATTCGACTCATATTTTAGGCTTCCTATAGCAAAACATGGACATTGCCATTTTATGTTTACCTATGACGTCATATATAGAAGCTTCTGGATAGCATTTGATAGGACGAGTTATTCCTCTTTACACATTACCATAAAACAATATGCAGCAACACGTGGACATTATGGGAGGCGGGGGGTATCATTTAGTGAGCTCGTTGCTCACAGTATCTCTAGTTTTCATCCAAATCTTGTGAATTTGAAGCTTTTTGTTTCGGTTTAATAATTGTGTATTCTCTAATATAACCTTGTTTTATCTAGCGTGCGCCGTAGGACCGTGCCCTGTGCACATTCAGACATTACAAAATCTTTATTTTTGTCTATATATTATCAAAAAGATTATGATTCACTTAAATATGCTGAATAAACCTGTACTGAAAATATCAGCTTAGTGCGTTCATTACGCTTTTAGAAAAACGTTTTGTCCACGATTTTCCTGAACAACCCTCGTAATCGTACACCAATTAACATAACAGGGGTCTCTAAATACATCTTAACGAATATTACATTTAGTACGATAAATTGATTTCACTGATTTTCTTTCATGTAAATTGTTTTCCAAACATCGGTGAATACAAAATATACCTATTATTTTACAGTTTTTACATTGATTATTCTTTCTTTAAGATGCCCCCGTCTCACAATATACGGGTTCAAGGTAGAAGGCTGGATTATTTCCAGTTTTATAAATTGTTTAACAGTGTATAATAAAAATGTACACAGAATAAGCAGTGTTAAATAAAATCAGGCTCCTTTTTCAATAACAGCAGACAAGTTGCAAGACTACAATCACCACATGCAAAAGAAACAGTAATAAGCTGAATTAATGCTCGTGGACTTTCGAGTCTGTAAATTATAATTATTGAAAATCAATAGGTTAAACTATTTAATTTATTCTATCTGTGTAATTTTTTGTTTATTATTATTATCATTTTTGTTATTTTGTAATTTTCACATTGTAAAATAACATTTTTTATTTAATAAATTGTATGCGAAAAAAATTCTCAGTACCCAAGGAGCACTTGTCATTCCTAGTCTACCTATTTTTAAATTCCTGAAAAAAAACATTGCTTTAAAGCACCCCCATCCCAAAAAAAAATCATCATTACAACGTATGTGATGCTTATTATTCCCTCGATACTGATTCCAACGTTGATGTCTTTGGATATTTTGTGTGCTCAGAAGAGCACACATTTTTTTTTTTGTCCCGAGGGACCCTTTAAGACAAAGATCTAGTAATTTGCTTTAGACAGCATTTTGGTGTTAGATCAATTATGACATCATAATCAGTTTAAACTTTCTTTTTCCCTACTCTGCGGCTTTAATAGAATTATGAAAAAACGGATTTTCATGGAATTCAGTTTGAAATCACATGACAAGTAGTCCTGATACCTATATTAAATTTGACATTTTTTTTTAAAGAAGAGGGCAAGAACATACATAGTACCGTTATCTGAAAGACTGTAGGTAATCTGGATTCATTTTCTTTGCCTGATATGGAAAAAATTCCTCCCACATTTCTGATCGGTTTTCTTAATTTTTCATTGAGAATGACAGTATAAAATATGCAGTTTTTCATGTTGCTTAACCTACAAATTATGCCCCGAAACACCATATTTGACCAAGCAAAAGTTATAAAGCACCATTACAGGAATTTATTTCTGAAATAATTAAGCGTGAATACAGTTCGATATCATCATATTTCATGAATTTCTCTTCGACGTTTTAAACCCATTTTAAGTACTGAATAGAGTCATTATTTTTATGAGGAAGTAACAAAGGTAGCATGTCAACAAATTCATTAAATTGGTTCGAGGCACAACAAAGCTGCGTCAATGACAATAGATCCCTGAAAACCACTCTAGTAATGGACTCCAGGGATGGGTACTGGACTGGTATTTACAGACTTTTTTTGTCCATAATTTCAATTTTAGATACTGCTTAATAATTACAGTAGTAAGACATTATATTAAAAATCAATAAACCGTTACTCTAATTAGTTTAAAATAATAAGACTGAAACTAATCATGAGTGAAAACAATTTTTCCAGGCCTAGTATGAGAAACATAATTAGCATTCTCTTTTTTATCAATCCTACAGTGTAAACTATTCATTTTAAAAAGATTAAAGACAGTGTATTTACAATATTTTCTTCCTAGCTTGTAACACTCCCCATTCTCTCTGAGAATAATTTATAGCTATTGTATATTCATAATTTTCTGATAACTTACACCAAAGGGGAACATGGAGCTTTGATTTTTCCAACAAAATAGGAAAGTGTCAACATTTTCTATCAATTTGATTTACATTGAAATTCGTACGTGTTTTATATTGTTAAACTTCCAGGGCATCCAATTTCTTATATTTCAGCCGATTCTTTAAGTAACAAAAACCTCAAGTCTCTGTAATCGCTGTCCTCTTTAAGATATCATAGTTTTCTACATGTAGTATTTAAATTATTTCCTTTGTATAAGAAGGATATGGAAACTACGAACAATATTCAATCTCAAAGTCCACAAAACAATACAAAATAGGAGCAGAGCAAACACGGACCCCCGAAACATCAGAGGTGGGACCAGGTGCCAAGGAGGAGTGAACATCCCCTGCCGATTGGTCACACCCGCCGTGTAGTGCCTGTCATGAACAGGTAGCAATGGAAAAAAACATCCGTTGTCAATTCAGCGCATAAACAATGGACCAATATTCAGTATGAAAATTTGTGTTCCAGATATTCAAAACTAGATCTCCTATCCTATTTTTAAGGTATGATTCATAGGGAAGCCCATTAAGAACATATAACATATTTTCGAAATAATTAAGGAGTTGTTGCAAGCTTTTACCAAGAAAAAATGTGGATTTTGGAATCAAGGTGAAATTAAAAAAAAAAAATTTCTTCAGGAATCTATATAATTAAATCAGGACATCAGTTTATTTGTTTGAAAACTGGTAAACTATTAATTACATGACTAAAGATGAAGAAAAACATGTTTTGTCACATTTTCACTATAGCGGCATAAACGAGGCCTGTAAATGATCCTCATTCTTGAAATTCTTACGAAATAGAATTTCCGGTATAAAGTTTTAAAAAAAATTACAATTGCGCTCATTTTATGTAGATCTAAAAGTATATATAAACTCAGAAAGGTTAATCATTAATTCTTTAAGGTAAGGTTTGCGTTTACAGGGAGATAACTCTTGCGAATCACCAAAGCGTTTGAAACAGGCGAATTTTAACCAGCGATGCTAAGCATCTCGGTAACGAATTTCCTCTGTCATACTTGATGTTTGTTGTCACTTAATATTGTTAGCCTTAGGACTAAAAACAAAGGACGTTTTCAGGAGAAAGTCATATAACAAATCAAAGCATAGGAATCTTAGAAGCCTTTGAGATTAGCGTGATGTATGTGGATGAACCAGTAAAGGAGGACTTGTTTATTTTCGATACGGAACGTGGCAAGGTGCACGGCCATTCCGATCAGAAGAAGGTCATTGACGCATTGTGCTGTTGTGTGTTTCTCGCTTCACCACTACACTAAAATTTTATGTGAGAATGGGAAAGAAAAAAGAAAAGACCTGAGAGTATCCTGTAAAGTATTATGCTATATGCAGTCCGAACAGGGAAGAAAAGTCACGGTGCATTTGACCATGTCGAATGATGATGTTGACAGTTTGATTGTTGATAGTATTTTCATCAGGTAATTATTTAACTATTCATTTTACTGAAAGTTATGAATGATTTACTGACTACGGATTTAAAAACGATTATATAAACGGTACAAGAATATCAGGATGTGACTAATATCCCAACATTGCCAAAAAAATAAAAATGCATTCATTCAAGAAATTATGAAAAATAAAATCCTTGCTTTTTAGGCCTAATATTTGTAACATTATTGGGACAGGTATTCAATTATTCAAGTTACCTTTTTAAAAGAGGTTTGATTTTAATTAATATCTCATTTTCTAATTAATAAAAAAGAGATACAGATTATGCATGACAAGAACATTAATTTTCTTGATCAAGCATTTGCATTTCACTAATTCAATCTGTAAATTAAAATTACAATAGTTTCATATTGATTCTTTATTGATTATATTGGAAATTTATTCATTTCATTGAGTGAATGAAACTTAGTGCAATATTCCTTATGCAATTCCAAAAATGCAATTCCTTAAATGTTATTGTAAAAATGAACACATATGATTTCAGATCATGGGTCATTAATTGGAATAGATAAGAACCAAAAAAAAGTACTTCAGTGTTTCCTTAAAAGATTTGTGCCATCAATCAAAGTAGAGGTCATCCCATATCAGCTCAAGAATATTAAAGAAAGTTGGATGGATCAAGCTAAGATGTTGAACCAGATATGGTAAAATCAATGGAGATTTGGAAAAGAACTTCTGACTTGTTATACTCAATGCATATTTTTTTTATGTCTATAGATTATAGAAGAAAATTTAATGTTTAACAACATCCTATCTAGTATATACATGCTGTTTTCCATATATTTAGAAGATATGTGTATGTGATGATTGCAGTGCATATGCTCTGTTTGTCCATCTTTGAATTTGTTTTCAGTAAAATAAATGTATACACCAACACCATAGGTACATGTATTAATTGAAGGTTGCTTTTGTCTATACTTACATGTAACAAGTTTCTTAAAAGGGTTTGTAAAATTGCAAGGAAATTGATACATGAACAATTAAGATTAGTATTTTTATTCATTAAATTTTGTTCTTACCAGGACCTAATATGCTCAAATAAGTATTTCTGAAAACTGATGAGTTTTGTACATAAAGCTGCAGTGAACATGTATAAGTATATCTAATTTAACAGTTTAAAACATGACACTTTGAAATTGTAAGGTTGTTAATTTAGTAGGAATGATATTGATAAGACCAGTTTAGTAATCTACTAAAATAAAAAAAATCTTTCACAAATACATGCAGTTTATTTTAAAATTGTTTACATTTATAATCTTTTAATTTTTTTCTGTATTTTGATTTTAAAAAGGAGAAAATTTTGTTATATTTAAATCATTATTTCATGGATATCAAGGAGATATATCTATCACTGTAGCATTGTTTCTTTTTCCCTGTTCTTGAGAAATATTTATGACAGTGTTATGTCATTTTGCAGAATTTGCCTTTTCTTTGAAATCAGAAGTACTCTGTAAACTCATTAAAGTATGAATTGATGTAACTTAGGATTCATCTTTATTTTGTTTTGTCTGATATTTCAATTTAGATTCTCAGACTTCCTAATCCAATGATTGAGCTAATGTCCATGAAGTGTAGAAATAGGCCATCTTTAAAAAATGTTTGGTTGTCAGCCTCTCCAGACCGACTGACTAAAATGACCAGACTAAAAACTTTTTTTCAATGCAGGGCCGTATTTTTTTTCCCTTTTTATTCCTCTTATCCCCCTTAAAAAAATGTTGTTGAAGATTTTCTCACCTACCGACCCAATAATTTTACCCTGAGTCAAGAGAGGGCAAACAAACATTACTTTAAAGATAGCATTTCTACTCTTCAAAGTAAAGAAATCATTTAATTATAAAAACGGCAGCTTCGTGGATGCAATGCTTACAACATTTCACTCAAAAAATGGCATACATGTATAATGACAGTCACCAGCCATAACTGAATAAAGATATTTTGCTACAAAGATGTCTAGAAGTTACTAAATGTTGGAATAACTAAATCAGTATGAGGTCAAATTCATAGGCTTTTAATTTGTTTAGTTGCAACATGTTCAGAAGTATGTTTATATACATATACATGTACTTCTAAAAGTGTTGCAGTATAATTCATGGGCAATTTCATCAGAATATTCAGATGTAAAGATTGCCATAAATACTTGAGTTCTTTCATGGAATAAAGTTTTAGACCATCATGTAGCACAGGAGGAGTTTTATTTTGAATATATTGGCCAATTTATGCCTAAAACAATATCAAAAATAACATTTAGTCTTTAACATTCACCATGACAAGGTGATATCAATGTTGTCTTTAAAAGTGTAGAAAAAGCCTGATTTTTATGTTCCGAACCCATAATATAGCCCATGTTTCCATGGAAATAATATTGGGGACATATATATTTTTTTAGTTTAAATTAATGAAAATGATCAAATTAATTACTTCATGGATTTTGATGGAATCGGTAGATATGTAAAACATTGATTTTTATATTTTTGTTGCCATGGCAACGGTTTCACTTTATCAAGGAAAATTGAAAAATCTTCTTTTTTACTCAAATTTTCACATTTTTGATAACGAAAAATTAAAAGTTTAAATAATAGAAGCATGAATTATACTAATTTAGGTCATTTTAATTATAAAAGTTTGATAATTTATAAAATAAATCAATTTTTTCAATGAAAATAATATTCGAGGTGAAATATGAAATACGTTAAATTTGGCGTCTTTTACTAAAAAAATGGGACGGGCAATATCTTTGAAAATCATATTAAATGATGAAGCTAATCTCCCTGAATAAATTGATATATAGCATGTGTGCATATTTAAAAAAAAAAAAGTTGGAGGGAGACGCAAACCTTACCTTAAAAAATGAATAAATTAATTAATAAAAAAAAAAACCCACAACAAGAAAAGGTGATTTTCGACATCATACTATGTCTATTAGGAGCATGAGTTTAAAAAAAACGCCAGAAACGATAATGAAGACCACTGTTAAAGTTCTCTTGTAGTTTTGTTACACGTTTTTTCCCTAATTCAAACAATCGAACATTTATACACTAATTCTTTTTTTTTTAAATCATTTAGCAACGTTACTTAAAAATGCTCTCATCTTGGTGTATATTTATGTACCTATTGGATGTAGCAAGTATCCGGATATATTGAATGAATCACAAATTTGTTTCTTGTTTCTACACGGAACATAAAATGAATGATAAAAATATATTTTTTAAAAATTTGTTATGAGTTAAATTTATACATTAATCTATAATGAAGACATTTTCACGCTTGGAAGAAAAAAAATCAAACGTTGAGAGGGAATAGTTACGATAAAATGTACTGCAGATGTTACTGAACTTTTCAGGATTTCCTGAAGGAAATGATCTGATAAGTACTAAAAAGCTTAAAATTAAAAACATAATATTTAATATGATGACGATAAAGTTCGGAAGGGAAAGAAACCTACACTTCCGATTACACATTCCAAGTACATAACACTTGCCAAAAGATTAAAACCGACAATAACAACCATTCGTTGTTTTAAACAGTCACATAGTAATGAATACACAATTCATTATTTAGTGGATAAAAAAAATGAAAATTATCATTATGTTCTTGGAATTTTTCTTTGGCTTTTAAAATTGCAATTGGTTAGAATTTCACTTAAACAAAGACTTATTAACTTGGACTTTACTTTTTCGTCTTGGATGGTTCTGCTTTATAAGTGAAATGATGAAATAAAAACTTACATGTAGTTCTCTACCATGGGGAGGTTATCGAAGTGGAGCGCAGTGGAATACAGACTTCTTCTTTATGTTGTCTTTTTTCTCGTGTTAATTCAAGGTTTGTTCTTTTTTACTTTTTAATTTTCAAAAATTAACATTTATTCATTTATTTGCAATGGCATAACAGAAATAAACAAACAAGAAAATGCTCGTAGAATAGTATACCGTTTTGAAGGAATGACTGGTATTGTATACATGTTTATTGATTGCTTCGATTTTCTTGAATTGCTTTATGTCTTCTAATTCTAGGCAGGCTCACTACAGCTAGTTTTTGCTGCTTTTTTGTAAACCAAATTAAACACGTTAAGGAGATGAAATATGTCATTCATTTATACATGTAGGACTGTATAAAATTAATGTAAACAATCTAACGCACAGAAAGGGATCAGAGTCACAAGATCTGAATGTAAATTATGTACGAAATTATAATGTCTGACCCCCCTTCCAAAAAAAGAGTAGAAAAGTACATATACCTGTAAAGGAAGTCAAACAAAGTTAGCAAAAAGATGGCATAACTGATAATTGATATGTAATTTAAGACATATTCATCAAAAATCTAATATTTCACTGTATACATCGTGACAAAGAATTAAATATTGTAATATACTGTAAACTTTATCGTTAACTATAGAACATTTTTGTTAAGAATATAATAGCATATTTTAATCTGCAAAAAGATTTATTTTAGATATCTATTATTACTTTTATTCTTGTGTACCTGTCTAATTTATAAGATTCAAACTAGATGTACAGTGAAAACTGTCTAATCCGACATTTGAGTAGTCCGTCACAATGTGATTATATATGACGTTTACTTTTGCTCCCAATTTACTATATTCCATGTTTCTTTCCACTGTTCAATATGACACCCTGTCTATTAAGGCAGAAGTATGTCCCACAATGCAATTTGCTTATCCCCATTTTTCTAATGGATTCTCTCACTAATAATCTTAAGTAATATGATTATGAGGTATGCCATTATGCTTTGAATCTAGCACAGGAACAATATATTTGGATGAAAAAATCATACTCTTGTTGTTATGTCTCTCTTTTTTATTTCCATCTTTTTTTTGGTTTAAGAGGGGGGATGCTGAGATAAAATGCTTCCAATAGGTAGGCATAGTTGATAATCAAATAAAAAAAAATGACGTTTTAATGTAAAAAAAAAAAATTCAAACTTTCTTTTGCTAAGCAAAAGTAATGATATATATTTTATCTATTTTTGCATAACATCATTTAAGAACTATCTCAAATTAACAACTGCTTTCAACCAGACAGTCCAATGTCTTTCTGTATTGAATTATGTCCATACTTTTCAGACAACATTTATAGCATGCCTAATCAGAATTGGAATTGGTTTGAGGCACAACAACACTGTATCAATGACAATGGCACTCTGAAAATTAATCCAGTGATGACTTCAGATAATGAGTACTGGACTGGTGTATACAGACGATATTCAGCAATAATAAAAATTTTAGGTAAAGCTTTTAATTACATACACCATGAAAAATGATTTGTTTGAACAAGGGATGTGAAATTAAGATCTTTTTAATTTAATTTTTTTCCTACAGAATAAAGCAATGTGTCGTTGTTTCCTTACAATTAAATGGAAATTGAAATGTAACGGACTTTGAATTGTCCTGTTAGTTTAATGTTAAATTCATTCTGTAAATTATATCCCTTGATTTAAAGCTAATCTATCATTTAACGATATTTCTACTCTAAAGACATTGTGTTTCTTAAAATTCAGAAAATATATAGATTATTTCTCTTTGGAAATATTGTTTCAACGGATACAAACCATTTTTGTCCTTAAAAGAATCATTGAATATTTATCGATTGTACATGTCAACTTAAAAATTATGACGTTTAGTTTAATTTTGTAATTCAATTTCTTGAATATACTGAACGTAACTGCAGCGTGATATGTACTTATAAGAATTTACATTTATTTTTAAAATGCAAAATTACTAGCATACACTATCATAGTTTAAAAATTGTGTTCTTTTCAGGATGTTATAGTGTAGATGATCTCCAACAAACAAAGAACCTGACATTTATTATGAAGTATGCTTCAGCAGGCTTTTGTCAAGAAATATGTGAAGCCATAAGTCCTTCAAACTTTGGAATCAAGGTGAAAATCACATAATGATTGAATATTTTACTACAAAAGTCGTATTTGATTTTTTTTTTCGTACATTGGCTGATTTGTTAAAAAAAATGAAAACAGTAACAACTAATAAACGAAGAGGTATGTACATGTGGGTATTTTATGCATGTGTGATGAGCAAAGCACAACCATTCATATTTACCTAGGGCTAATATACAAAATTGAGGTCAAAATGTTATAGTTTTTCTGACATGCGTGTAGAAAGCCTTAGTTGACGTTTTCGTATGTTTGAAATATTTTTTCTTAAAATTTTCAGCATTCCGGGTAGCTTTTGATTAATGTGTTGCTATTACGGCTTAAACTGAAATGTTGTAAAAGTATATTGAAAAATATTTAATCTGGAATTTATCAAAACTACGAAATTTCGGACTCGGAAAATTGACACGCATCTTTGCACGTGAAGTTAACTTTTGTCCATTTGTAAATGAAAAGTTTAAATGAAAAATAATCAAATCTTTAACCGTTGTGCCCTTGGCACATAGGTTACGACTTTGCTTGAGAGTAGCAGATCGTGACAAATTCCGATTTTATACAATGTTATGTATCCATTCATTAAACCACCAAATGAATCCTTAGTGTCCTAATATTTTTGAATATTGAACAGTCAAGTTATCTAAATTCCAAATTGTAACCTGTGTAACAAGAAAATAAAATGAAGAAATGATTACCATCAATGCCCATGCACAACTACATGTATTTTCACTATTTATGTAGGCAATGGAATGTGTATGTTTCAAAGAAACATTGACTGCGAGGACCATATCCAGTACTCAGTGCAATGAAACTTGCCCAAAGTACACATCAGACGATTTTTCATTTGCTGAGTGCGGGGGAAGAAATGCATATACATTATACAGTTCAGGTACATGTACATGTATATAAAAGGCAAAATCTGTAGAGAACCTTTCTGAATTGAAATACAAGGCAATTTTTTTTTTATTCTATTTGAAAAATAGCTCTCTATGATTTCGAAGAAATATATATTTGTGAAAGTTTTGCAAGGAATATTCTGATTTGATTGTTTCCTCCTCTGGAGTCTTAGTGTAAGGGTTGATCTTCAGATCGCAGGCTCGATTATCACTGCAGGACCACAAGAATGGTCATTCGGATCAGTCAATTAATCCAGATTCTCAATTTGCAGTATATTCTGGAACGAAAGGAAAACTGCTCAGTGGCTCTGATTGCCGTGTAATGGTCTTAATTTGCACCTCTCCATTGGCGAGCAGACGTGTTTTGATATGATTGAAGAATTCTGGAAAGGAATATTAAACAGACAAATACCTAGAAAAAATTAATAATATTCTATATAATTGTTATAAGATATGATCCTATAAAGTAAAGAATTAACTAAGGACGGAATTTGTATTAACACATTACGGCTTATTTAGACAAAAGATTTCTTCTTTAAAAATAAACTTGTAGCTTGATTTTAGAATAGCTTTATAAAGATAAAATTTGATAAAGAACAACAAGATCTAATTTAAACAAGTAACGATTAATATCATCGCAAAATATACGAAAACCTTTCTTTAAAATAAAACTCATTTTTGTAACATTTTGGTCATTAACTTTCATTTCTTGTTTCTTAATAAACCATTGCCCAAATTTTTTTTGACGTGCATATACAGCTATCAAAGAAGAAAATATTATAATTAGCTGTTTTCTAGATTAATGTATAATGTTATCTTACTGAAATGCACAAAAATTGATATACATTGAAAAGAAAAGGTTTTTTTTTCGCTAAACCTTTCCAAGAAGCAAACCATTCCCTGATATTGTGAGTTTAAAATGTGAATTAAAACATTTAAACAAAGTCCCCCAAATCTAACATTTTTTATATCTACAAAATAAAAGGTAATATAAATTCATTCGGAAAAAAACTGTAGGTTTTATGGTTTTAATAAAGAAAAGAGTAGAAACACGTTTAAATCTTTAAAATATGTAAAAGTCTTTTTAAAAAGAATTCTTGATCTAAAACTTTTTAAATGAAGAAAACTGCCCATTTTAACTCAGATAATACTTATGTCACCCCCAATGCTAAATTTGTCTTAGTTTTAGTGGGTTTGTAGATAAAGTAAGTTGCTAAACTTTTGATTTTCATATTAGCATTTTTTCATAATCACTACATGTACTTAATTAACACAAGGGAAATAACTTTAAATAGCTTTGACAGGTACTTTGTATATATATATATGCAATATTACCTTTGTGTAAATCAGTATAAAATGCACTGAGTCGTATTTCTTGAGCAGTTCAATAAAAGGTAAAAGCTGGAGATGAAGAGATTTTCTTTATTTTTCTACCTTATAATTTTATCAAATAACATTAGTAAGCACAATATTAGCGTGATAAAGATTTCATTATTATTTTACAAAGATAAGACCTACCTATTTGGATTTGCAAGTGCACAAGGTGTTTACATGACATTGTACATTTTCTTTCAACCTTACCGTAGGAGGTGGAGCGGAACAAAATCCAGTTTGTTATGCTATTGAGTGCGGCACAAGTGGAGCATTTTCAATATCTCAAGACTGCTCAGAGTCAAAGTTTGGAGTATGTATGGACAGAGGTAATTTCTGCGCTTATAGGTTATATTTAAAGTGCAGAATTATGTGGTTGCAACATCTAAGGAATAACTCTAATTTTTGGCCAAATTATTGGATTATAACCTGGTTTGGGTCAGTTTACGCTTTATAATCCGCGAAGCGGATTATAAAAAAAGCGTAAACTGACCCAAACCAGGTTATCATCGAATAATTTGGCCAAGAATTAGAGTCATTCCTTATAATTTAATTTTAAGATAACTAAACAACTGTGGATATTAAATTGTGCTGCTTTTTATGAGTTCAAATTTGTCGCTCAATAATACATCCCTAGTAACGGAAGTGATATGAAACAAGGGGATGTAATAACTGATACACCGATCTAGCAGCGAGGATGTTTGTTTAAATGAGGTAAGATCGAGCTACTATTTGAAGTTAAAGGTACATTTATTAGATTTGGATTTTTCCATGAATCCCAAGGACTGGAAATGAAGGGATTGCTTGGATACAGATGATTCAGCTGGTTGTCAAGGGGGGGTGGGGGGGGGGGGTGTCCCCATACCAAACCAGGTTATTGAGAAATAATTTGCGTTCCTTTTTGGAAATCAACCAATGAGAGACTAGAATACAAACAAAATTAAATTATTTACCGATAAATAGATTTTACTATAGGCATAATTCAGAAAAAACAAGAAACAATCCTTCAGCTGTTCATGTAGAACTTCTAAGAACTTCAGTAATATATTTTGGGTGCAATATTAATATAGTAAGAAATTATGATTTGCAAATTCACATATTTTTTTAAATACCTATAATTAATAATAAGTTTTTACTCACACTTTAAGTAAAAAAAATGGTCATATATTTAAAAAAAAAAGAAGAAAAGTGTCCATTTTAAAACTTAATACACTTTTATATTTATATCGGTATCTGATAAATGTGGGAAAAGTTTTGTTTTGTTTCGGTTACTTGCTTTATCTATATTTGTCCGTCGTTAGTTTGTAGTATTAACATTGTCAGCTTCTTCGCTGAAACATGTAAACTTATTTTAGTCAGTTTTTACGCATAACCACATTTGTAAGAATTGGAAATGAAAAATTTCAAATTTCATGACACCCCTTCCTCCCCGATTCAAATAATCAAAACGAATGTTTCAAATGCAGAAATTATTTTGATCAGACATTAATTAACGTGGGTCTATGGTTAAGGAATGTCCTGGAATGACGAGTGAATTAACTTTTTATTTATTTAAGTATTACTCAAATGCTTTATCTTTCTTACAAATTACATATTAAATGAATCATGATCAAATGTACAAATGTAACTGCTTTTGTTGTTCTGATGACCAGTTGCGCCTCTTGCTTTCCACTCCACAGGCTGGAGAATCGACTATAGGTTCCAAGGGTGGCCGACATACAATACTCCGAGGGCGAACTTTAGACACCGGGTTCCCTAACTGTTATACACAAACTCTGATGTATGGCTGACACTTGATATATACACCATCACCATATACACATGAATTTGAATAACAAAATCTAGTTGACTTACACATATGTACTTTTACACTCATTATCAGCTTAACGTCTTATCTAAAACTCAATTATACACACTCATGAATATTAGTTGTTAAAATCATGCATGAAAAATATGGAGATAAAGAACAGTATTCCAAGTCAAAATTCCATAAAACAGCACAAAATAGAGCAGAGTAAACACGAACCCTCAAAACATCAGAGGTGGGATCAAGTGCCATGGAAATTGTGCATTCCCTGCCGATCGGTCACACACTCAGTGTGCTCCATTTCAAAATCACGAAATGACTGAAAAATCTGTCGTCTATGCATTGTACAAATAGTGGACTAACAACTTGTATGAAAAACGTAAGTCAGAATTTTACTCAACGATAAATTGTATTTTCTGACAAAGTTATTGTATCGACCATAGAACGTACGAAATGACCACTTTAAACGAGACTGCTGATACTCTTGTTTCATGAACTTGTTGTCAATAAATTACCTTGGTTTAGAAATTGTTCATAAAGCATACTCTTGCGTATCGAATCAACTGAAATACATAAACCCCGTATACAGTTGATGAAGGTATTTTGCTGTTGATGACATACAACTCCTACAAAAATGCAATATTGCAAATTACTACTTTATGGATAAACTATTAAGACAGAAATTGTACACCGTACTTGAAAGATTCAAATGCGTGTTACTATACATAGAAATAAAATTAAACGAAACATACATCCTAAAAATGATGAAAAAATACTGAATGACACATTCCAAATACTTACAATGAAATTATAAATAGGAGACCTTGCTTAAAAATAGACCTTTACACACGAGGAATACAAAGTAAACCCTGCAAGTAATACTAGTTACATTTAACTATTAATGCTGGATACAAAACATATGAGAGGGTCAAAAGCGTACTCCTCTCTGGACTGCCGTGTCCAAACTTATTTGCATGAACATGCGGGTTTTAAAGTCATAACTGTATCGTACATAACATTAGTTATAGAATAAGATAGAATTGCGGTCAGCACTTGTGTAAACAGAGAATTAAAAAACAAGATGTGTTTGTGAAACACTGATGCCCCCGTTTGGCAACATAGCAAAAATTAAACTTTTTTTTTTAAAAATGCAAATTTAATCAATTGGTACCAAAAATATTCTCACTGAAAAACAATTAAGAAATTTGAAAATACGCCAATGTTAAGGTTTTTCAATAAGTACAAAAATCTCCAAGGTCAAAGTCAAAAGGTCAAGGCCATTGGTATCCAATGAAAGGTCTTGCCACATAGAATACTTATGTAGAGTATGGAAGCCCTAACCCTAACCGTTCAGAAGTAATGGCCAAGGTTTAAAATTTTTAAAAGTAGGTCAAACTCCAAGGTCAAGGTCAAAGGCTAAAAGGTCTTGTTTCAAATGAAAGGTCTAGTCACAAGAATTAAATATGTTAAGTATGAAAGCACTAGGCCTAACCCTTTAAAAGTCATGGTCAAGGTTTGCTCTATTAATGTAGGTCAAACTCAAAGGTCAAGGCCAAAGGGTCAAAGTTCTTGGTATCCAATGAAGAGCCTTCTCACAAGGGCTACATATATGAAGAATGAAAGCCCTATCCCTTACCGTTCAAATCTAATGGCCAAGGTTAAAGTTTTTTCACAAGTACACAAATCTACAAGGTAAAGGTCAAAGGGTCAAGGCTGTTTGTATCAAATGAAAGATTTTTTAACAAAAAATATATATGAAGTGAAGTAAAAATGTCTTGGTATCTACTGTTTAAAAGATATGGCCTAAAAATGTTTTTAAAATTTTCATGTAAAAGTGGATCAAACTCCAAGGTCAAGGTCAAAAGGTCAAATTTGGTGGTACCAAAAGAAAGTTCTTCTCACAATAAATACACATGTGAAATATGAAAGTCATGGCTCCACTAAATCAAAAGCTATGGACAAGGTTTTTGCGGAAAAACAAAGAGACAGAGAGACAGACAGCTAGACAGACAGAAGGACGGACACAACAAAAACAATATACCCCCGAAACTGCGTTTACGGGGGCATAAAGATTTGCATTAAAAGTTGTATAATATTTCAAAACCAACTTTGTTGTCGATCATATATAACCCTTTATCGGTTAACTTTATTATAAACCAGTAATGGTCAACGCATTTTCTAGAGACATATTTAAAATCTCCATTCCAAAGTGTCATTGAGTCTTTAATTGTTTGAAACAGTTTATGACATTTCAATGAAATTCAAATACCTTTCATTTCTATTAAAGTGATATAAGACATTTCATTTTTTCATATTAAAAAATATTAACAGATATACAGACAAGACAAGGTTGGATAGAGTCAATGAACCTTTGTGAATCTTTACTCTCACCTTCGTACCTTGTGGGAAACCTAAGTATCTACGATGCAAACATTGCTTGCGAACAGTTGAAAAGAACACAGAATGAATCATCGTGGATTGGGGTAGCAAATGAAGTGTATGTGGGATATGATCGAGGTAAAATGATTTTTTTTTTCATTTTAATTTTCTATGGTTTGAAATATGAGCATTATTATTGAGTTGATATTGTGAGTGCTATGTAAAGAAATAGCAGAGAGAGAGAGAGAGAGAGAGAGAGAGAGAGAGAGAGAGAGAGAGAGAGAGAGAGAGAGAGAGAGAGAGAAAGAGAGAGAGCTTCAAAGTTTATTTTTTCATTATAAATCATTTCAAGGATATGTTATATTTACGCAGCATTGTTAAGGCTTGAAAAAGGGGGCGGGGCCTAATTTATACGGGAAAAGTTTACTGTGACGTCACACAAAAATATGACTTTTATGTATTTCTTATAAGACCTGAAAATGAAATAATTTACAACTTTTAACTGTATAAGCATAATAAACAATAATATAACATATCAATGCTTTTAAAAAAGTTTCTAGTTAAGTCCCATATAGCTGGTTATAAACAAAGCACTGATCACAATGAACTTGTAAACATGACGTCATATTGGTAAAAATGACGTATTTCATGTGCTGTGAGAGGCAGATTGAGGATTTTTTTTAATTATGAAAAATACGTTTTATTTTTAAGCGGAATATTATTTACAGGTTTTAAAAAGTCGATTAATACCAATGTATATCCCTTGTTTAGTGCGATTATTAATTCACTATCAAGAGAATGTATTTCATTAATTATATCGTGTTTTTATTTACAGGCTACGTATATTTTACATCAAGATGCCTCATATAATCGTACTTTTGCAAGGGCATACACTGCATAGATCAGAACCATTTTTTGAATATAGATAAAGGATATTTTCCTTAACTTGAAAAGTGCTGCTGCTTTCTTTAAATCGAGGGCGTGATTTTATAAGTACACAAAATATTTGGTAAAAGTCAAACATACTTCAACATTGGCCTATTTACTTGAAAGTTTAACTATTAAAAAGCGAATTCTATTCAAAGCAGCAACACTTTTCATAAACTAGAAAGTATGCAGAAACAATTAATAGCTTTAATTTTTAATTTCAACTAGGGTATGTCCTTGCGATATTGACATTTGTTAATGACCTACATTTGTTAATGACCTACATTCAGTACACGAACTATGCATTCATCATGGGACTAAACTTCACAAAGTACAGAGTGGGTTATAGTATGCTATTTCCACAAGTATTAAAGTTCTGTGATAATAAAACAGCTTAATTAAAATAAATTCAGTTTAGAAAAAAAACCTTTTTTGCAGGTCTATTTTCCATTGATTTCTCATAGTAGGCCTTAACAGTGCTGCGTATTGATGCATGATGGACTTCACTTGTTGTAATATCTGTGTTTCAGTTTTGGCTGACAATCAGTTTTTATGGAAGGTCAACGAGTTCAAAATTCAAACTCTTTAATTCGTAACATGTAGTTATGTACTCATGTAAACCTGAAAATTTTCAATTGTAAATAATAATTTCATAATTTGTCAATTGTTCTATCCCAATTTGATAATTTTAACTATCCAATGTAATTTGACAAGTGTAAAATATAAGTGTAATTGTACATGTAGATTGGTGGTGCTCTCATGTAATTCGTAGACTTGCGATTTGTCAACCTGTGAAATGTAAATTGTACTTTTGTGATTTGTAAATTTTGTAAGGTCGCATTATGCTAACGCCTATTCAGACGAAAGGGGGGGGGGGAGTGTAAGGTTGTTAAGTTAATTCGTTGCTTAACAATTTAATCATTTCCCCAATTTGACCAACCATACAAACTTTGAGGAAATGATAATAAATTAATCCATGTATGTCCTTAGGATTGTCTGTAAATAATAATATATAAGCAGAAGTGATCTAGTAAGCACTCCTAACAATCCTGAATAATATTTCCCTAGATACCAATGTTTTTTGTTTTTTTTTCATCTTGACATTGAAGTTTGATCTATGTTAGGATGGACTTAGACCCCCTTTTGGCCCTTGGTTTTGAATATTTCTATGAGCAATGCAACATATCATTATTGAGAACATGTTTCTATCACTGTAACAAAAATAATATTGATTCTAAATTTTAGGACAAACAAAGGTCATAGAAAGGTTACTTTTTTTCATTTTTGTAATTTCGCAGTTTTATGCCAATTTTCATCAATTTCAAAAAACATTTTGCTTAAGAAAACATAGAGGACGCATTTGCTAATCCACAAAATTTATATATAAAATAGGGACAACAAACAGTATGCAAGCTCAAAAGTCCCTTTTACAATACATAATAGGAGCAGAGCAAACACGGGCTTCTAAAACATCAAAGGTGGGATTAGGTGCAATGGAGAAATCAGATTCCCCGCCATGTGTTCCTTGTCATGATCGGGAAATAAAGGAAAATCCGTCGTCAATCCAGTGTGCAAATAATGAATTAACAATAAGTATGAAAAACGTTAGTCAGCATTTGACTTAATGATAAACCGTATTATTTTGCTTATAAGGTGTTTGTTTCAACCATAGAACATACGAAATGATGCATTTAAACGAGACTCCTGATATTCTTGTTTCATCAAATTGTTTGTCAATAAATTACATCGTTTTAAAAATAGTACATACGTAAAGCATGCGCTTGTGTAACTAATCAACTGAGAAATATAAACTTCATATGCAGGTGACGAAGGTATATTGTTGTGTAAATAAGGAAATTTGACGATCGAAAAATTCGAGTCATACGTTTATCATAGAGCAAGGTTGTCTGCTCTATGGTAAACGTGATGTCATATTTTGTTTAGAATGTTAAGAATTCCAATAAAATGTTGAAAAACCTGGTCTCCACATAGATATTGTCAATCAAAGACTCAAGCGTCTTTTTGGTGTCAACTTCAGAGTACTTTTTCATTTACCAGTGCAAGATGCATCTTCTTTATAAAAAATCTCATATGACCCAGCTTGTGTTCTATGTTCTTTGAAATGCAAAGTCTAAGATTTAAAGAAATTCCACCAGAAATGTAAATCAGAAAGGTGGTAAAATGTGAACGTTCCACTTTGTAATTCTCTTGTGGCTTCTTTATATTTTTGAATCAAAAGAAATACCGGTTTAAAACAAGCACCATTTAAAGTTCCTAGCTGCAAACTGACACAATTTTAACGGTGTTTACTTTTATCACCAGAGGGTCAAACTCTGCTTGTAGATGTACCGTCCCTTTACCATTAGCTGCCATATGGGGGGCATCCATATATTGTTACACAAATGAACGTTTACATATTTACTACGTTTACTACGGTCTCTTCCAGGTTTTCCTTTCAACATTTCTGAAAGCAGTTTCTTACAGTGTCGAAAATGTAACATGAGTAACTGTGAATTTACAGACTGTTTTGAGAGACTATACAATTTCCATTGTGAAAAGGTGTGGTAACTATAATTTTCTAATTTATCAATATCTTTATTTCATCTTTAATACAGTTAAAGGACAGATGATACAAACAAAAAAGGTGCTTAAATTGGTATATTTTTTTTACCTATTTTGTTTGTGGATGATGAAAAAAATTAATTTTTTGAAGCATTAATAAAAGGAAAACGTCCAATATAATATTCGAAATTCAATTCTTCTGCAACCATCTTTATAAATCTTTTAGAATTGTTGTCACTTTTAAGTTTGATTATTGTGAAAATCTTAATTAAATATGATAATATTTGCAGTAGCAGTCTTTAATTCTACTCCTTTGAACATGACTTACATGTAAACTGCTATTTAAAAAAATAACAAAATTTTATTTGTGCCATCCGATCTTGATTTAATAATAATAATAATAATAAAATAAAAATCGAATAATTTACTTCAAATATATATCTGATGTAGCATTGATTAAAATTCAGAATGATACACTCTGAATGTAGGTATAATAGTTTGCTGATAATATGTTTCAGAAAATTTGTGTATGTAAAACAAGAAATGTCACTATATATTCGTCTGACATACATGTAACTTAAGACAATGCTCAGTTTTCTTCTCTTTATCTAAGATTAAAGAAATTATGCTAGATGAAACTGATATCATAAACAGAGAAAATGAAGGTAAGAATACAAAGTCATATATTAATGATATTTTGTGCTCTTAAACATTATCTTTGTTGAAGTGATGCTAATTTAGGTACGAAAAAAATTCTAAGACGAGAGTTATAAAATATCAAGTTTCATATACGTAACTAAGCAACTGTTATTCGTGTCATCACAAATTAGCGATTTGTCAAATGCTGACGATTACTTTTTTGCGATAAAATATTTTGTATAAATACAAAACAATAAGTTTGGTTTGCAGCGATTAATATTTGCGAATAAAACACGTGGGTGTCGGAACTTGAAAATATTTATCAAATGCGAATAAAAGCTGGTTTAAAGTCTTTTTACTTGTTGATAAAATAGTCTTTATAAAATTTTAAGGTAAGAAAGAGTTAGACATCACTGTTCATGTGCAAAAATGATAATCTTATAAGGTTTGAAAGTTTAATTTAAAACAAGTGTTTTAAAGAGTCAATTATAACGAACTTTTTCTTACATTTCAGATCCACCCTTTACTGTTATTCTATTGTCAGTTTTAGTCCTCGTCATAGTTGGTTGTCTAGTTCTTGTATATACTTGTTGGAAAATGTTCGTTATTATTTTTTATTAATTTATTATCATTATTATTATTAATATTTTTAAATAAGATAAGTTGAGTTAAAAATACAATTTGCAAAAAAAAATTTTAACACGTATTCGTAAAAGAAATTGTTCTGTATCGCATATTCCTTATTATGTACATATACAGAAAGAAGAAAAAGAGAGAAAATGCCAATAAAAGTAAAAATGACAGTCCACAGAAAGAGCGATATCAAGATATAGATGATGAGAAAATTGTAAACACAACAAATAAGACGGAAAAGTATGAAGGAACGTACAGAGAAACCCCAAATGGAACGTACGATCATCTCAGGACTAAAGATGCACGGAAAAGGATAAGTAAAAATGATTACGATCATGTTAATTCTTCGAAGGAGGAGGAATACGAGGGGTGTTTAATGAAGGGAAATAATGAACATAGAGAGGCTGACTACGACCATCCTTGCATATCATCTGATTATGGAAAGTGTGTCATAACAGCAAATCCAGTGGATGAAGAATATGCAAAACTCTCTTCCCTTTAGAAGACTTGTCAATTAAAAAAAATAGAACTGCACATTCTACACGTCGAAAAGAATTCCAAAGACATTATTGTAAGATTTCCGGATAAAAAACTTTATTAAAATGGTGAATGCTCAACGCCCCTGTGATATAAGTAGAATAATTATAGTTTCTTACATGTTATTATGTTAAATGCATCATTACATGAATGTATACACCCTTCACGATATTGTACGCATTTTTTCAACTTCGTTGCTTGTAAAGATAACATGAAAATTTCGTATTCGTCAACATTAAATTTAATATATAAAACATTAAACTCTTCATCTATTTTAATTTATATTCATGCCTACATTGATATTTTATACGTTTTGTCTAGAGTTTAATCAGGTAAATTAAATAAAACAATCATGGACTGAGTATAGTACTCATAATCACAATCAAGCCCATACCCCATTTTTCTTTTATGATTGATACATCGGATCGTATTACTCGTCAATTTGATCTAATCGTAGGGTGAATTTAAGCTTAAAAGAAAGGTGGCTGAATCAATAAAGTTTGTTTGATTTTTTTTTTTTGTTGGTAGTGTTTCAAGTATTAGCAGGAACCTGAAAGGCATTGAAGATCTGACGAAAAAGTAAAAATAATCACATAATACACTTTTTCAACTGTCTCCATGTAATCGTTTTTTAATAATTGATTTTCATATGTTTTATTCTAAAAAGCTTAAAATTTGTCTATTGACAAGAACAGGCTATTGTTTCACATAGAGAGGATTTTAAATATCCCAACACATTATTTACTCACATCCAATACTATCATTTAGGAAAACGTCAGTTTAACGTTTTGTTTGCAAAAGAATCATCTATATTACCTGAACTATGTGCATATATAATCACATTTTTGTGAAGAAATCCGCATGGGACGATTGAAATCTGAGTTACTCACAAAAAGTTACTAGACTTTAGTCATATTTCAATGCCATATTGCAACCCAACAGATTAAAATAATATGGGCAAAAATAAGAACATATTTAAACTTTAGCAGAGTAACTTTTCGAGAATTTGAAAACACTGATATCAACAATCTAACTTTAAAAAAAAATCAAAGATTTGTTGGCAACGTAGGTGTCAAGTCTTATAAATGTGATTTTATGATTTGGTGGAAATGATACCTTTATAAAATGAAAAGGCAGAGTAATTTTTAGACACCTTCTCGATGTTGTATTTGGCGTTACAATACTGTTATCCCGCTCCAAGTTGACAAAACATGTTGCTTTTAAAACGATAATAGGCTAACACTTCTTCCATTTAATCAAATGAAATTAATCTTCACACATCGACAAAATGAATGTTTGTACATATCAAAATGAGTTGATTTTTATTCTTGATCGCCTGCGTGACACAGTGGTTACAGCGTCTGCTCTAGAGTGGCGAAATAAGGAATTGATCCTTACGTTGCGGGTTTTAATTTCACCGTGGGACGTGGAGATCGGTCCTTTAATGAGACCGTATAAATCGAGACTCCGTGTCGCAGTAGGTGCTGGCACGAAAGAGATCCCTCACTGCTCAAAGGCCTTAAGTGCAGAGCATATGACAAAATTTGTACATCTTCACCGGCAGGTAATGGCGTCTCTATATAAGAAAAACTTTGGAGAGGGACGTTATAAACAACATACAATCAACATACAAAATTGATTTCTTTATATAAGCAAGTAACGTTTAAGTTGATGGTGTCTCTAAGTATCTTTGCATAAACAAATTCACCGATTAAGAAAAAAATTTATTTAACGTTAAAGTAGAGCATACGAAAACATTAGGGATGTCAACGATTACCCGGTTTACCGGGTACTCGATCAAACGTCCGAATATCGAATACTAAAAGTGATACTCGGTCACTCGAATGTGTATTTTTCTAATTCCAAAGTACATATTTTTAGTAAAATCTTAACAAAAATAATTTAAACAATTGTCATCAACACCTGTGAACACCCGTTATTGCCTTTGGTTAAGTATACACAGTAATTAGTGACTAATTATCTGGTACCCCTACTGTGGTCCTTATATTTAATTTAGATGACTTCAATGGTTTGTTTTCAGTGAACAATGTTTTAGTATGGTCTTTTATCTCCAAATAATTTTGAAATTATTTAGTAAGTATACGGCTGCGAAATTGGACATGCATAGAAATGCCGCTACCCACTTCAAAGTGAAGAGAAATATTTCAAGATAACTAAAGCTTAAAAAAATATATATATATTCAAAGTCAGTTTTTGTACAAGGAAAAGAGCCAACATTTGATAATATTAGACAAGCAATCACATCAACGTCTGTTCCTTCTTTTCACAAGTGCAATTATTACAAACCTATATACGTAGAAACAAAATTCGATGTTTATATACATTATTACTTATATATATTTTTGAACGTGATAAAACAGCTTTCAAATTGGAATTTAAGAGAGCTTAATTGGACTCAAAATTAACACACTTGTATATGTATTTATATTTTATCGAGTACCCGGGTACTCAATCGGAAAAAAAGGTCAAAGTAACCGATTATCAGAAATTGACCGATTTGACATTCCTAGAAAATATTTATGTCACGTTGAAAATAAATATATGTTCATTTAATACTACGAACTAATTATCGGATTTTTTTCCAACAAAAACAATAATTTATAAACTTTATAAACTGGTATTCATATAGATTCTTACTATTTGTGCTAAGATTTACACTTAAGTATCAATATATTCTTTGAAAAGATAAAAGATTCTGAAGTCGAAGTCATATAAATTCTTAATAAGTCCATTTTTAGCTTATTATGCTCGCGGATCGATAGATCCGAGGCGTTTATTGTTTTTGTCCTGTATGTTTGTCTGTTTTTCTGTTTGTCTGTTTGTCTGTATGTCTGTTGTCAAGTTTAACCCTCACAATAACTTTTGAATCATGAGAGATAGAGACTTTAAAATAGCTTTATTCAAACTTTCGCCATAGCTTTTGATCCATGAGCGATTGAGTCTTCATATTTGGTATGCATACTTCACTTATTAAGTTCTCTCAAATGACACCAAGGACTTGTAACCTTGACTGTGGCCTATATGCTAAAAATAGTTTTTCGAACTTTGTTGCCGCCGGGCGCATAGTATTTCACAAACACATCTTGTTTTAATTCTGAAAACATTAGAGAAATTAAATTAAGTCCTCATTGTAACGCATGAAAATTCCCAAACAAAAAGCGTCCTTTTTGTGATGGATGTATATAGTCGTATATATATAATATCACAACTGATAAATAAATGCAACTATGTCATCAACATTTTATATTTGCATCTTATCAGCTTATACTTATCACAATTTAAGTCAAAAAGTTTTTAATTAGCAATGGGGTCTTAATAAAAGATTAAGATTGTCTATGTTTACCAATCTTTTTATATTGATGAAGTAAACTTAAGTAATTCTGATTTTCTTAATGCACCTCCTTTGAACCTTTAACTTTAAATCAATACTTTAGCACTTTTTATGTTTTTGAGACTGACACTTAAGTATTTCTACAATATAAACAATTAAGTTTAATAAAAAATACATTAAAATTTGACTATTTAACTTCGAATATACTCAGAAGTTTATGAATCTCGGTCTAGGTTTTTCAATGACTGTTAAGTTTATCGTTAATTGAAGGTTTAGAATGTAGTTATGAGAACCTTTAAATACATTTATAATACCAAAGAACATTTAAATAAAAAATATATCACCATTGTACAAAACAGGGAAGAATACACCAGGAATTAAAGTATGTCCCTCAACTTGAAAAAAAAGTATAATCTTATTATCTTAGCAGAGTGACAGGAGAGGAGGACGTAGAAACAAATGAAGATATCCTAAATTGTTGTAGCTGGTTGCAAATAGAGCAATCTGAAACTCCAAATTTTATCATACATTACGAGAATGTTTAGGGTTATTATCATCAATATGCATCTTGAAGGCTTTATAGAAGGAAGTGAATATAAAAAAGCGCAAAGTTGTTTTAATCCGGCAGATGTAAAACTCATTCAGTTTTATACTAAAGCATCAAGATTCCTAGGAGTAAAAAATCGATTCTTCAGTATAGCCCCATTACATTTTTCGAAGCTGCATCTCTGTTTAGAAATTTATTTTTATTTCATACCAGTATGGAAAAAACTTTTTTTTCTTAAATTGAATCTTGGTTAAAATAAAAAAAATAATGAACCAGTACACTGTATGTGTCCAATCAAAATTCAACAAAATGTGTTTGTGAAACATACCAGTATGGAAAAACTTTTTTTTCTTAAATTGAATCTTGGTTAAAATAAAAAAAATAATGAGCCAGTACACTGTATGTGTCCAATCAAAATTCAACAAAATGTGTTTGTGAAACATACCAGTATGGAAAAACTATTTTTTTTTCTAAAATTGAATCTTGGTTAAAATAAAAAAAAATAATGAACCAGTACACTGTATGTGTCCAATCAAAATTCAACAAAATGTGTTTGTGAAACACTATGCGCCCGGCGGCAACAAAGTTCGAAAAGCTATTTTTAGCATATAAGCCACGGTCAAGGTCACAAGTCCTTGATGTCATTTGAAAGAACTTAATAAGTGGAGTATGCATACCAAATATAAAGTCTCTATCTCTCAAGAATCAAAAGTTTTAACGAAAGTTTTAATAAAGCTATTTTTAGCATATAATTCACAATCAAGGTCACAAGTCCTTGGTGACATTTGAAAGTATTTAATTGTGGAGTATGCATACCAAATACGATGTCTCTATCTCTCATGGATCAAAAGCTATGACAAAAGTTTGAATAAAGCTATTTTTAGCATATGGCATAGTCAAGGTCACAAGTCCTTGGTGACATTTGAAAGTATTTAATTGTGAAGTATGCATACTAAATATGAAGTCTCTATTTCTCATGTTTGAAAAGTTATTGTGAAGATTAAACTTGACAACAGACAGACAGACAAACAGACAAACAGATAAACAGACAAACATATAGGACAAAAACAATAAACGCCTCGGATCTATCGATCCGCACGCATAAAAAGCAAAAGGTGTATAATTGGACTATTTAAATTAAAAAGTAGCAATGGCGTGGTTTTCTTTCTTTGTTATTATTAGTATGTTTTTGTTATAACAACGATATATAGAAAATCGTTATTTCTTTATGTAGAAAAACGAGCAAGAATTGTGCACTTAAATGTCAAAAAATCGATTTATTGTGAATTATAAACCGATTATATTCTGTACCTTAATAATCGACGCAATAAATACTAAGCTCTTGTTCTGATAGGAAGGAAATAGCTACTGCATGAATAAATTA